CCGCAAGGGCGTTTGCTTCCCGGACTTTGAACTTGGCAGGCGGGGGTTGCGCGGTGCCTCCGCGTGCCGTTAGCGGGTCGTTTCCTTCAGCTGGGGAGCGCGGGGCTCGGGGTAGGGGTCGCGCTCTTTGGCTGCCCCTCGGACGAATCCCTCGACTTCAGCTGGCGTCAAAGAGCTCGGCGGTCTGCCGAAGCCTGGAGGGTCCCTGAGCTAAGGCTGGATAGTTCACATAGCCACCGGCACACGGGAGCGCTCCCCCGGCTGCTGTCGGCCCCCCCATCCCAACGAGCTTGGTGCCTGTTTCCAGCTGAGTTGCCTTGAGACCATCCCCCCCTTGGCATCAGCTCCGATTCAATCTGGACCTCGCAGCGCTAATACATATCACGGTATCTCAGCTCTCTGTAACCCACCCGGCTCTGTCTGTGTCCTCGTCTGTACGCAGGGACGCCGCCTGCCCCCCGGCCATGCTGCGTGGGAGGCCGCCGAGGAAGGAGAAGCTCTCTGTAAATGCAGCGTGGTCTCCAGGCTTGGCAGGATAGCTCGGAGGGGGTGCTGGCTTTCTGGCGTTCATCAAATCGGCGCTAAGGCAGACTTGGGGCGTGGTGTAGTTACCCCAGGGGCAATACTGTGGGGCTCCTTGCAATGGCTGGGTTCAGAGAGGGCAGCAGCACGAGGGTATTTGATTTCAGGAAAACACAGCCTGGGACATTAGGAGATCCAGGGCCTAATCGTGCACGCTGGGAGCAGAGCAGAGAAGAGCGTGCAGCACGACAGAGCTGCTGCCGGCTGGGCGCGACGTCGGCGCTGCACGAGCAGGGAGCTCTGGTGCGACCAGCCCTGGAGTATTTCATTCAGCACGGGCGCCGCATCGCCAGAAAGGTGCTGATACATCGGGGGGCTCGGGGCAGAGCAACAGAAATCTGTCTGGGGCTGGAAGGACTGACCAAGCAGGGCAAATAAGAGGTCGGACTCAGCAGCTGCATGGCAGGGGCATTCGGGGTGCTGCGGGGGGGAGTGGATGCAGGAGGGCAGACGGGGAGAAACCAGCAGTGTGGTGACCCTCAAGGGAAACTCCCTAGGAATCTGATCCTCGCATCCCCTGGAGGCGCTGGTCCTGGCTCCGCTCCTATGGGGGGGTCCTGCTCCTTCCCTCCCAGCAGGAAGCTTTGTTGATCTGGTGTTTGGGAGCAGCTGAAATCTGCTCCGTTCTACGCAGATGTTATCACGCGCCAGACATGCCATTGTGTCCCGGGCCGGGGCAGTGTAGGAAGGCCCCCCGGGACTCGGCTGGCTTGCCCTGCCTGCAGTGTGTTGTCTCCAAGCAGCCTCTCTGCTCTGGCCTCGGCTTTGGTCGAGTGCCTTCTGTTCCCAGGTGGGTTGGGCCTCCAGGCTGCTGTTCCCCAGGGAGCTTTTTCCCCCTTTTCAGTCTTCAGTTCTGCCTCGCTGGGCTGGGAGGTGGCCGTGAGGGACTCAGAAGCCCGAGGCTTCTTGCGTGATGATGACACACATTTCCTGTCTGTGTTTCAGCCCCCCGTGCAATGGCGCTTTCAGGAGGAAAGGCAGATGAGCTGTCAGCGGAGTGCCTTTGCGTGGGTCACGAGAGGCTTGCCGGGCATGCGCCTGACACGGCAGGCAGGGAGTTCAGAGCACCCACCCTGCAGGCCCTTCTGCCCTTCATTTCAGTAGTTGGCCTGTGTGCATCGGACCTCGGCCGGGCGCGTCACTGTTGCCCAGCTGGGATGTGGTGCTCAGTCTGTTCAGGGCTGATCACCCGGAGGCGAAGGGCTGGTGTCTGGGCTGCAGCATCTCTCTGGAATTGTCATGTTGCTCAGAGGTCGGACACGGAGTTTGTCTGGGATGGTTTGGACAGGGCTGATCTGGCCTAGACGTGGCCCCTACAGGTCCCTGCCAGCCCCACAGCTCTGTGGTTGCTATGAATTCATCGCATTTTGTGCCAGGATCCTTTCCTGCAGCACACCGTACAGCTCCCTAGAGCTCTGGGTCCCTTTCAGGTGACTGACAGGATGCATTCCCACTCTTCCCCCTTGACAGACCGTTCTACAGACTACAGAGTTCACTGCTGAGCAGTGTTTCCTGATCTCCGACCCCCGGTAAAAGATCTCAAGTCCCAGTCACTTCTGTTGCTCTTGTTTTTCCCCTGGTGTGGTGACGGTTTTGTCCTGGTATTGCGGTTCCCAGAACCGAGATGGCCCTCCCAGGGCTGAGAACCGCAGTGCTGCTCCTCAGACCGTCCAGCTCTTGCTTAGCACAAAGCTGGGTCTAAACACTTTGTGAATGCTTGGACAAGGTGAAGCAGCAGAAAGCCCGGCTCTGGGGGCATTCCCTGTGTTGAGCTTGCATCTCAAATGGGGCAGGTCCCTGGTGTCCCTAAGTTTTCCACACTGCTGAAAGCTGGTCCCAAGCATTGGCCTTGTACCCCGGCCTCTGCACAGCTGCCAGGGACTCATGATGGCCCTGCTTGCAGGGGACACCTCACGTCTCCAGGTTTGGCATGTGGGAATGTGGGCATGGCAGGCTCTGGGACGTCTCTCTGCAAGCACCGGGGATAAGCCCTGCTGAGAGGTGGAGGGTCAGGCAGGAGAAGGGTGGTGGGCCCACCAGCGACTATCACACAAGCTCGCAGTTGGTGCAGTACAAGGACCCAAGGACTGTGGGTTGGATTGCTTGCTCTCACTCCTTGGCTCTTCCCAGCCACCAGCTGAGCCAGTGTGGAAGTGGGGAAGGTAGGTAGCCCAGCTTGATTATTTGCAGATGAAACAGGGCCTTGCTCTGCATAGCAAGAGAGTCTCCTGCCTTCAAAGGGGTCCCCCACCTTTGGCCCCACAGTGAGCCCAGGTGCGGAGACGTGGAGCATTGGTGGGGGGTGAGCTAGAAGCAGCAGTCTCCAGAGACCAGCAGCTGGAAGCCAAGGGGAAGCCCCTGCAGTGTGTCACCGAGACCAGGAGAAGAGCCCTGTGGCCCAGAGGAGGTGGATGTCCGACAGGACCGTGGAGAAGGAAGCGAAGTTCACAGCCAGCTTGGTTAAGAAAGAAGATGAAAGTTGCCGGGATGAGCTGATGGAGGGGATGCAGACGGGAGCTCTGGCTGTCGGGGTAGGGGGTGTGATGGGGGGTTCTGCTTGCTGTCCCCAGGTAACAGCCCAGCGGAGGTGTCTGGTGTTTCTCAGGCCTCTGGGTTTTGCTGGTTGCTGCTCGGGGCCGGGAAGGAACTTTTCCTCCCTCCTGTTGCTGCACGTGTCAAGGGTTTTTTCCACCCTTCTTGTTAGGTAGGGCTGGACATGAGTCACTTGGGCCTTGTAGGCAGCACGTGGCATTGCCTCCAGCATAGCACTTCCTTTCTATAGCAACCTGGTTCCTGCACGGGCCACTATTCTGCACAGGCCGCTGCTTCTGGTGTTGGTGTCCCCAGCTCTTGTGGGGCGAGTTGTGGTGCTACAGGGCATCTGGGTGCTGATGCTAGGGGTTGTGACAGGTGCTTGTCTTTGGCTGCGGAGGGCCCTAGAGTCAAGCTGCCTGGTGCGTGCCCTTACGGAGGAGAGGCAGGACCCTGCTGCTGTTGGGGGCTCTGGGAGGATGTGCTCGATGGCACCGAAGGCCGGGGGAGACGTTATCGGTAGAACCCCTGAATCCTGCAAGCTTGCTGCTAGCTCCGTCTCCCCCAGCTCTGGCCTCTGATGTTCTTGTGATGCCTTTGCTGATGAGGGACGCCCCAGGGGGACTCGCGTGTCGGCCTGTTCCAAGGAGCTAGACCAGTTTGCTCTCGGCCGGATCCCCGCGGGCTGCTTGGGCACGGCAGAGACTCTTGCTGTAACTCGGGCTGGCTCTTTGCTCTGGAGTAGAGGGTGCTGGCACTGCAGCTGGCCTGGGCTGTACTGGAGCCAGACCTCCAGCGAGGACAGGTAGAGGTACAGGTGTCGCACACGGGGCTGCGTGGTGTGGAAATGGGCTGCTTTGTGCTGACCGGGCTCTGAGGGGTCACAGTTTGTGTGCACAGGAGAATGGAAACCTCTCCTGCTTCATGGCAGCCTTAACTCCTGCAGGTGCATGGAGGGGATTCCCCATCACCCCTCTTCCAGCTGCTGTTCCCCTTACTCCTTCCCCCAGTGCCCGTTCCCTTCCCCACTGCACAGACCAGACGCAGCAGTGGGGAGGGAAGGTGACCTGGGAAATTGGGCTTTGGGGCCAGTTGAGCCATTTGGGTGGGGGTCTGCATGCTGATTTGAAGCACCTCATCAGGCAGGGCTGGTCAGACGGCTCGGGCAGGACTGAGATGGCAGGGATCGAGGCACTGGGGAGTCTGCAGGGGTGTTGAGGACTGGAGTGGTGCCCAGGAGCTGTGGGTCATGCCCGAGAGGTTACATGAGGGTCCTGCACGCCGATCCTTGCTCCTTTGCAGCGTTTTGTCCAAACGGCGCGATGGCAGAGGGGTGCGCTCTGCCTCACCCAGCCTGCCCAGAGCCGTTGGGGGAATGACGATGGGGCTGCCCAGGCTGGCAGTGTCTGGAGGGGAGCCTGTGGGCAGAGGGCAGCACTGTTTTGAAAATATATAATTATAGTTTGCATCGACTGTTCACCCACTGAGTGTGCAGTCTACAGCCCTGTTCCCTGGCAGTTAATCTTCTTAAACAGTGCAATAACAGGGAGAAAATGTGTTTAAACAGACACGAGATTACTGGCTTGCTTTGTGTGCTCCTTTGGATGGGAGAGCCAGTGTCCCGGGCCCGCTGCACAGTCCCCTAGCTTCGCCGGGCTGTGAGTCGGTCGGTCTCCTCCACGGAGCCCGTTAGGTCCCCACTTAGGTGGATGTCTTGGGACTGTGGGAAGCGACGATGGCGATTCCATAGGAAACACCTCTCTTCTCTCAAAATCGGGCTGTGATATCCCAGCAGTGACAGAGCTGGAGGTGCTGAGGTGAGTGGTGGGGGCTTCTAGTTCTGCAGAGCTGAGGGGTTAGATCTACTCTCCGGGTCCCTTCCCATTTGGAAACTGCCTCCCTGTCGGGCGGTGTCCTGCTGCCGTTGAACTGCTGCTGTGCTCCATCTCCGAGCCGGCTGCGTTTAAGCAGCGGGCAAAGTCGCTTCCGCGTCGAGAGCCTTCTGAAGGAGCAGCACGCTCGGAGGGTAAGAGCGCCGGGCCTGACTCCGGCTTCAGAAGTTACCCGGGGGAGATGCAGTGCAGAGGGTCTCAACCAGGGTGCCGCTGGGGTGTCTTGAGATCTGTTTTGAGGGTGCCATGCAGTGCTAGTGCTTCAAGGCATGCAAACACTGTTCACAAGATGCCTCCAGAGACTGCAAATAGGAATCCGGAGTGTCAAAAGCATTCAGACCTGCTGGGGTCTGTCTGAGTCCTTGGCAACAGGAGAATTGCTCTAGTATTTTTCCGTTGTCAAAATAGTATTTTTCTGTTGTCAAAAACTGAGTGAGAACTGAGATGGCATTTCCGGGCCGGGGCGGCGGGGGAGGAAGCCTAGAGTCTACAGAGGTTGAAAACCAGTGCCCTAGTTGCACTGGGGCCAGCCTAGATGTAAATCCAGGGTAGTTTCTGCATCCCAGAATTAAATGCTGGCACTGATCATGTTCTTGCTGGGTGTTTCTGGGTAGCAAATCATCTGCGTGCCCTGCCTCCCGTCCGGCGGCTGGGATCTGTGCTGCGGAGAGCTGCGGGAACGAGAGCAGCCTGCTCCTTCCGCTCTGCGAGCTGTAGGTTGTCATATGTATTCATGGAAAACTAAGGCTTGCCTCTTTGCATCTGCTTAGCACATGTTCCCTGTCAGCAGAGCTCTGCTCCCTGCGCCAGGTGTTTCCATTAAACCTAAGAGTGTTTTAGTGAAGCCCAGGGCTCTGGTGGACTCCTCTCTCCTTCTCCCTAGCCCCAGTGGATCAGCCCTGTGGACAAGCTGAGCACATTCCTGGTTGTTTTTCCTCCGTGGTGTTGGAGGCGCGCTGGGTGTCGCAGGGATCTCGGTTTGTTGTGCTATATATGGCATTTCTCCTGGGCTGTTCAGATTCAGTCGCTCTGGTTTGCATGCAGTTTTCCTGGCCTCTGTCTATGCAAACAACACCGCTTCCCCTGGGCAACTCACTCGGAGCAACCCCGGGAGACAGATCCCCGGCTGGGATGTCCTGGTGCTGTCCCGGAGTGACAGACGGGGTACTGGGGCCTGGCCTTTTGGAGGTTCCCTGCTCTCTGGTGGCATGGCCTCACCGGGGTGAGCCCCTCATCCCAAAAGGGGCTCGCCGAGCTAGGGGAGGCTCCCAGCACGGCTGCTTGAGGGGAGCTAGGGCGTGAGTTCCCAGCAAGGGTTGCCTGTGCACGTGCTGTTACCCTGTGATAAGTGCCAAACCCCATTACATTTGCCAGGGGGCAGATCGCGGCGTGTAGGCATCTTTGTGCCCTCGCTGGTCTGGCAGTAACCTGCTCCTATAGCCAGGTCCTCGGAGAAGGGTGGTGGGAGGCTGGAGAACATCTCCTAAGGGGAGAAACAGCTGGGCTTGTTGCCTTAGGGAGGGCGCAGAGAGTGAGAGGAGAAATTGCAAAGTGGGGCGCGGGCCTGAAGGTCTGTTAGCTGCGGTTCTCAGTCATCACTTAAGGTTGATGAAACTGGAGCCGGGGTAGGAAGCTCTTCCTCGCACCGCAGGTACAAAGCCGTGGCACTCGCTGCTGCAGGGAAGCACAGCTGCAAGGGTTCGGACCCGCAGAGGATCAGGCCGTTCTGCCTGTGCGCGTGTCCCAAGTTCTCTCTCCTCTTGTTGTGGGGCTGAAGCCGGCTTGAAACACCTGGGATACAGGGCCATGAAGCAATTACTGCGAGGTAGAGAAAGGTGGGGAATTAGTGATGACCTGATCCGTGGCAGCTGCCTGCATATATGCGTTCACCATGAGACCAGCTTGCAGCCACTGACCCCTTGCAGCTGCTTGTTAGCACGTTCATCCAAGTCCCCAAAGGTACGGGACTTGTGCATGTAGCTTAGGCCCTGTCTGCCTGCGGCTATCAGCTGGGCCAGCCTGACTGTGATCTTGGCTGCATTAGAAGCCTCTCCTGTGGGAACTGGCAGAAAGGTGGAGTTGTGGTTGAAATACTGGACTAGCAGTCAGGAGATAGCAGGTCCCAGGACGGCTAGAGATGTGCCCTGTGCTCTCGGACACCTTGGTGCTTCAGTTTGCTTGCCGTTTGCACCAGGATGCGAATTGCTGCTCAGCTTGTAGGAGACCTTGGGGGCTACATGCATGACTGAGATCCTGGAAGGCACCGTGGGTCCTGGGAGAATCGCTAGGACGTATAGTGGAGGGAAGAGTCCCCTGTTCCCCAAGGTGCAAATTAGCACATCTCTTCCCTTCTCTCATTCAATAAGAGGCCTCAGTCCCTTCTGGGAATGTGTTTCCTCAAGTTGGTAAGCCCCCTGGCAGGGAGCGGGGAAAGGCTTTGTTCTCATGTGGGCTGCAGGCAGGACCTGGGCGACGGAGGATGGCAGAGGTCGCCACCTTGAACTGGACCTCCTTGAACTGTGGGACTCTTAAAATAAAGGCAGGCGAGGCAATCGTGTGCTCGGGGATCAGCAGCTGCTGCCGGGGAAGGTGCACTCGGAGAGGTTGGCCCTGCATAACGCTTCAGCCAACTAGAGAAGCTTTCAGCTGTCACCCACCAAGTTCGGGGTGGTTTGCTTCAACTTTGGTCACGGTTAATCCTGGATTAGCAGAGGGGAAAGCAGTAGTGGAGGGTGTGGGGAAGGGGTCAGGCTCTTGCCAGGAGGGTGGGCTCTGTGTGTGGCACCTCTCCCTGCTCCCCTTCTGCCTCAGGCTCCTCTCTGATTTGTTTCCTTGTTCCTTTCTTTGCAGGACTTGTGAAGTTCCTCCGGCAGGGCCCAGTCGGACAGCGCAGTCGCCCCACCTCCCGTTTGTCAGCGTGACTGGCTGCGGGGAGGGAGGAGTCCTGGCCTGAGCAGTCACTGCCAGGATGCATGCAGAGGAGGCTTAGAGACCCAGCAGCCTGGGGAGCGGCAGTGCAAACACTCGGCTTCCTCCTGGAAGACTTTGAAGCAGCTCCAGGCCTGTTGGGCTGAGCCAGGGCAGGAGGAGGTGTAGAGCGGGATTCCCTCGACGACAATGAGCTGCCTTGTTCTCCCAGTTTGCAGAGCACCTGGAGGAAAGTAAGTGGCCCAGGCGGGAGATCCCAGGGGTTTCCAGTTACAGCGGGCAGCGGAGGGTGCCTGGCTGGAGGGTCCGGAGTCTACGCTGACACACAGGGAGGAGGGGGTATGCGAATTTCTGCCTCTGCCCTCGCTGCTGCTCAATAGTTCATTTCCCCTCGCTCCTGCCAGGGGCTGCCAGCTTGTGGTGGAAGTGCTCTGGCAGTTCCCAGCTGCATCTCTCCTCCTCTGGGCTGCTCTGAACTGTCTGCAGGGAGCACGTGGCTGTCTCGGGCGGCTTGCTGAGTACCCCGGTGCCGGGTGGAACCCCGCTTGGAGAGCGCTGCTTGGACTGGGGCAGCTGCAACCGGGCGATGAGGAAGACCTCCCTTCCTGTGCTACCCAGCTTGGCTTTGGCTTGCTGAGCACAGGGGGCAGAAAGCTGTATGTTACCTGGGGAATTGGATCCACTTGGCAAGAGACCAAGTAGCTTTGCAATAATCCCAGCTGGGAGCGTGTCTGTGGATCCCTCCTGCATCCCTCTGCTCTCTGACTTGCCGAGGGACGAAACTCAGTGACTTAATAATGCACTAAAGCAAGGACTTGGCATGATGCTACCCAGCAGAAGAGGTGCAAATACCTGGCCCTGCCCTCCCAGCTCTTCTGCTTCCTTATAAATTGCTCTGTGGGTGTAGAATTACCAGGCCCAGCTCAGAGCTGCCGAGGGCTGGCGTGTCTCTGGAGCTGGTAGTGCGACTGTCCGCCTGCTGTGGGACAGCAACTGCCGTGAGAGCTGGGAGTGCTGTGGGGGCACCAGCGAGACCACGCAGGTGGAAAGAGGCTGCCAAGAGCTGAATCCCAATGAACGAAGATTGTGTTGTCCCTTGCACAGGCGTCTGCTGAGGGACGGAAGGCGGGAGTTCCTGGCACCGCCGCATTGCACTTCACTGCCTAGCACTTTTGCGTGGCTCAGAGTTCCCAGGAAAGACCCCTCAGCTCCTGACTGACGTGGAAGGTCCCGGGTGCCTGAGACATGAGACTGCCGGAGCGAGGAGGGAAAGTCCCATAGAGGGACAAGGATGGAGCAGAGCCCTCTCTTGCGCATGTGGGTGGCAGAACCCCAGCCCCCAGCCCACAGACAGCAGCTGTGAAGCAGGTTTGTGGCATTCAAGCGTTCTGGGACAGCGACCTGTTGCCAGACACTCAGGCAGGGCAGGTGATGCCCGCTGGGGACTGGAATCCTTGCAGCGCCCTTCCCTGCCCTCCCGGTCTTTGCCGCAGGCCCCTGTGTCAGCCCTCTGAGGTGGTTGGGTACCGCAGCAGCCATGGCAGAGCACCTGGAGCTGCTGGCGGAGATGCCGGTGGTGGCCAGGATGGGCACCCAGGAGCGTCTGAAGCACGCGCAGAAGCGACGGACACAGCAGCTAAAGAAATGGGCGCAGTTTGAGAAGGAAGCTCAGAGCAAGAAGGCCAAAGCCGAGAGGAGGAGGAAGAGTGGCGTCAGCCGGGAGCAGCGCGTGGTGTTCCCGGACAGCGTCAGGTTGTTGGAGGCGGCAGCTCGCAATGATGTGGAGGAAGGTAGGTGGGGTAGTATCCCCTGGCTGGGTGGGAGCTGGGAGTGGAGGGGAGGACTTGGGGTGCTTGCTTTTAAGATAGCTTCAAGCAGAACCCCTTCAGGGTCTGGCTGCCTGGGCGGTAACTGCCTGGGCTCTGGATAGCACCTCGTCCTCCTGGTCCACAGCAAGTCAGTGGATCAGTGAAAGTAGTTTCTCCAGGGCCGGGGGGCTGATGAGTTCAGCCTCCATTAGCTGCCCACTTTCCCCTGGTAGGAGGGAGTCACAAGGGCAGAGAGAGCAGTCCCTACACCCAGCCAGGCCCTGCAGCATAGCTGGTCCAGGGCAGCTGTCTCCGAGCAAATCTGCCACGGAACAGCATTTCTCCTGGTTTACCTGGGGACAAGAGGATAATTCTCCCCGTAGGAGGGTCAGGGGGGCAAGAGGGGGCCTGCAAAGGTCTCAGCCCTCTGGAAAGGGGGCACCAGCCCCTCAGGCTTTGCTTGCGATGTGTGGCTTTCTGTGCCCGCTGAGAGGCAGGCTCCCTGACAGAAATCTGGTCTCTGGGAACACGCCGTCCTGTTTACCTAGTCCCTGCTTTGAAGCCGCTGCATTATGAATGTGTCCTGTGACCCGCTGGGCGTCCTCGCCGAGGGCAGGACTGCAGAGGGGTCTTGATGCCACTGAGAGGTCAGCCCTCAGCACGGTTCCTAACTCGGGCCTCTCTGAATGGTGTGGGGTGGACAAGTGGCCAAGATGTGCCCAAGGCCAGCTGGGCAGTATCCTAAAACGGTGGTGACTTGGGAGCATCTGCACAGCTCCCCCCCAGAGTTGCTGGAAAGGAATGGTTCTGGGCCCTGTTCTCCATGGCAGTCTCTCCGCCCTAGGCTCGCAGCCCCATGGCCTTTCCCAGGGGGCTGCTTGTGTTGGAGCAAGTCTGGTGTCAGCCTCCTTCTCCTCTGACACTCCCTGGCATTGCACAGCGTGTGACAGCTTGCATGGCTCAGAGCCACCTAGAGAAGGGCCTGTCTTGGAGGGCACCTGGGGACGCCATGGTTTGGTTTTCTCCGGTGCCGTGAAGTGCGAAGTCTCCAGGTGATAGCGGCCGCATGCAAATCAGCCAGTGACGCACCAAGGAGGTAACGACCCGTGGAGGTGGCTCGGAAGGGCGAAGGGGCAGGTTGGAGGGACAGGGAACAGGTCCGAGGCCGTCTCAGGCTTGCGCTTCCCTGGCTGGTTGAGTCGCACCTGGTTCAGCCCCTTCTGCTCAGGTAGGGCTATGCCAGGATGGTGCCAAAGGCACAAGGAGCTGCAGAAGCTGAGGCAGGCCGGGCTCCAGCAAACAGCTGGCTTGAAGGAGGCAGAACTATGTCCCGGGCAGTCGGGAACGAGGGCCCGAGATGCTGCCGTGTCACCAGGACCTCATGTGGCTTGCGGGCGGGCTGCCCAGCTGAGTACCTGCCGAGACAGACTGTCCTGGCTGCCTCCAGGACACCAGGGTCTTTCCCCAACCCCTCTGAGCTCCTCTGACCCTCTCCTGTCCTACCAGCTCCGGTCGCACCTCATCGCTCTGGCTGTGGTTCTCTTTCTAAGAACCGCTTGCCTCGAGCTGGCGTGTTCTGTGGTTACTGGAGAATAACGGGCAGTTCTCCTAGCCTGTATCGCAATGAGATGCTAATCGCAATTAGATGTGAATAACGGCATAACTGCATACACAAATACAGACTGGAAAATGGCTGGCTGGGCTGCGGTACTGCAGAGAAGGATCTGAGGTAGATCGTAAGGTGAATATATGTGCTGTTGTTGCCAAAAACCAGACAAAATACAATAGCCCGCAGCCTCCTGAGCTGTATGAGCAGCAGCATCACCTGGAAATCAAGGGCAGTGATTCCCTGCTCTGTTCAGCCCCGGGGAGGCCTCCCCTGGAGTCCTGGGTCCTGTTCTGGGCCTTGCACTTCAATAAGGACACACGCAGTTTGGAAAGAGTCCAGATCAGGGGCCTGGGAGGCAAGACTGACGAGGACAGGCTGGAAGAGCTGGGGCGATCGAGTCTGGAGAAGAGATGACTGAGGGGGGATTTGATTACAGTCTTCAAATCCCTGAAGGGCGATGACAGAGAGGAGGGAGATGGGCTTTTCTCTGTGGCTGTCAGGAATGGGACTGGGAGCAATGCCGTCAAACTGCAAGAGAGGAAGTTGAGGTTGGAGGCGAGGAGGAACGTTCCCAGTCTGAGGGTGGTCAGGCACTAGAGAAGCGGTACAACCTCTGTCCCTGGAAATGTCCAAGAGCAGCTTGGTCAGACGTGTGCTGGGGTGGTTTAGTCAGGGCTGATCCTGCCTCGAGCAGGGGGGCTGCACTAGATTTCACCTTGCAAGGTCCCTTCCAGTGCGACCCTCCCATGGTCCTATGATTACTAAAGTGATTGAGGGACACGTGCACCAGGTGAGAGATCTCGTGGCATCTCTGCAGCTGGTCCAATGAAAGACATCGCAAGAAGCCCCTTGCCTCATGAAAACAACTAGAGTTCCCCTTGGTGGTAATGCCTTGGGCCCTGTTCTTGAGCCAGGCGCCCGCTGTGCCCGGTGCTGTACACACAGAACGAAACCCAGCTCCTGCCTCTGCCTCAGCAAGCCACAGCAGTTGGTGACCTCCGATTGCACCGGGTGCCAGCCAAGGGCGCGCTGGGGGCTGTAAATCAACCGTTGACTTGACAGTAATAAAGCCTATCTCTATGACCTCGGTGTGCTGCGGCACATCTAGGGCAGGGCTTGTCGGCACCTGATAACTGGCAGGCGGAAAACATTCCCTCTGAAGAGG